ACAGAGGACAGTTGAATATTCCAAACGTTTAATTTCCCAATAGTGATTTCCTTTTTTGTGAAGTAATATTCCTGCGTAGAATGTCAAGATTTATCTTGATTCGCAAATGAAGAGTTTTTCTTTACTCACGGCGATATGAAGCTTTAAATATTGTATACTGTTGTCTTTTGTTGATGACAGAATATTATTGGTATCTATAGATGTCTTTAAGTTATGTAGTTTTCATTATGTTTGGTGTTCTCTTTCTATGTAAACGTTATTCGATTTATTAAGCCGTTATATACATTATTTGTACAGATAATAAATTTGTCTGTTTTCTGTCTAGTTTTTCGGTTTATCGCTCCGGAAAGATTCTTAATACATTTCAAAAGAAAAGATTCTTTTAACAAAAACAGATATATTGATTATAGTTCCAGTTTTATCTTTTGCTACTGATTAATGTAATAGCCTGTCTTTTGATCAATTTACACGTCTTCATTCCATAAAGCTCCTAAAATCTGATTATACAAAATTTTATTATTTTCTTCACATATTGATAAATACTAATTCTTTCAATTCACTGAAATCAAAATGACAAAATGCGTGTCAACATTGATAATTATAACAGCCAATTTGCAGAGCAACTAATTAAACCTATTGGGGTTGCTAACCATTATAAAACTTTATATTAGTAGAACCAATGCCTTTTAAAGCATTTTTTTTTGGTAGAGTGCATACGTTATACAGGTTCGCAAACTTGTACAATTGTTTTTTATTACTGGTTCTTAGTTTTTTCTTTTTAATGATAACCCATTCGACACTTTCTTCTCAAAATAAAAATTGACAAGAGATTAAACATTACTGGGTATTTCTGAACAAACCTATTCCCAGTTCGGTTGGTTTTGGAATTTTGTTTAGCCTTTGTCTAATCAAAGATGTCAATGACTAAATGAGGAAGATTTGCCTTAGGAAAGGCCTTGGTTCATGACTAATTTGTCCAAACATTGCTTTTTTTGTTTTGGTTAAAAAGGCAATTTCGACATTGGTATGACATTATAGTGACATTTCTTAGCCAAATAAAGTGTTCAGATGAATCAACCTGTATTCATTTATCAATGAAATCAACACAGTCTCGTGAAGTGTTGAAGAACATATACTATTTTTGCAATTTCAAGCACCAAATAATTGATCCTATCTTTCATTTAGCAAAAACATTGAAAGCCTCCATGTGTGAAATGAATTCATAGGAAAATAGGTGCTTTAAGTTATATTTACAGTGCACTTTAGGAGTTGAAAGTGATCAACAACGCAGGGGCGTGGACATATTCTTGTCGCACATGACACAAATTCGATTTGTCAATGCCGCGGTCATTTGTAGCAATGTCGATTGCTGCAGATAGTTCAATACAACAGTTTTCATTAAAAAAATTAGAAACCTGAGAATGACGGCTAGTAATTGCTTTGACAGATGATTGTTCTAACTGCTTTTTCTCATGATCTCTTTGTCAATGTCCAGGGGAATATAAACTGGTTTGCAATCAGTGGAAATCAGTGGTTTTAGAGACAACGTTAAGTTAAACCTTTTCTGTTGCAGTTTCATATTTTGATATTTCCAAGTGGTGCTCTCAGAAAAGGAGACCACAAATGTAATCAGTGTTCATCCAACTATAAATCTAGGAGTGAGCGTTAATTAAAGTTTGACGTGTTGTATTTTCATTTATTGACAAGTTTAATATTTGGTTTGCGTGTGAGAAAAAAACCGAGATTTTGAAATATTGATTTTATTTAATACCAAGAAATTTACATTTGAAAGTTGAAAGAAAAGATCAGATGTTTATTGATTCATAGCTTGCTATGAAAATGCAGTAAATGTCTACACGTTAGAGTCGAATTTGTACCAAAGCAATCATAAACATGATAAATAGATAAAACCAAAATATTTAAAATCAAACAAATATTCATAATCAATCTAATTTAAAAAAAAATATAGATCTCCGATATCGTTATGCTCATGTGGCGAGTGGTGTAAATAGTCGCACTGTTGTGAGTACGAATCCGGCATATGGCAGGTACGTTCGACTGAGTCGACTCCAATCTTAATTGACTACGATTGTCAGTTTTCCTACCGAAGTTTCTGTGGTTCTCCGGCTTCCTCCACCAATAATAACTGACCGCCACGAAAAAGCACAATAGTGCTGAAAGTGGCGTTAACACATCAATCAATCCATCAATCGTTATGCTCATACGAGTACACGAGTTTCGATAGATCAATCAGAAAAGTATTCTTATTTCATAAGGACCTCTTCAATGGGAATATTATTTTGAGTGGTAACTTGTCGAAAACGTCTAAAATTTAGAACGGACGTGCCTTACCTTTCATATAGATTTACAATTTTTCAAAAAACCGAAACATATTTTATTCCTTTTTATCATATCTCATAGCTACTCAGAGACATGTACCATCTTTTTAAAATTCAACAATCTAATTAAGATATAGATCTCTGATTTCGTTAAGCTCATATATGAGTTTGACGAGTTGCGATAGATCTGAATTTTAATCAGATTGAAAGTTAAAACGATTTTAGGAAATACTTGCAACATATACATATTTGTAAACTGAAGCCTTTATTATATGAGATGTAATGGTCAAATGTATAAAATATTATAAACAAAACTACCCTCGATCCCTTCCCCTCCAAAAAAAAAAAAAAAAAAAAATCCCCCCCCCCAAAAAAAAATAAATCGTATAATACATATTGCAGTGTACCCGATTACCTATAAGAAAAACCACACTTCGGTGATTTTGTTTAACCCGCGTATCGCAGAGCGTAATATTAATGTATTGGGATCGATTTCCGGATGGAAAAAAATCAACACAAAAACTTTAAGCATTATATTTGCTGATTTTTCATCTTTTCCATAAAATAGGAGTCTATAATTCTACGATAAATACCATAAACCAAAAGATGGGAAACATGAAAGCATATGAAAAGAGATAAAAATCAGTCGTTTCCCGTATTTATCCTCCTCATATATAGCATACACGATTCGAGATAATTGTAGAAAAGTGTATTTATTTCTCTATATAATGCCTTACATCCGTTTCTTCGTCAATATTTAGTGATGTAAAGTCTGTAAACGTAAGCATATAACGCAACATTATTGTTGCATGTTATAAACCTATACCTTAATTTCTTCTCACTTCATAAGAGTGTTCAGTGATCGATAAGGGAAATAGTATCCAGAAAAGTGGTATCGAAGTCAAAAATTATATAACAATTATCGAGGTAGAGTCGAATTCACCCAACAAATCAAAAAATACTTTCAGCGCTATCACACAAACATCAAAATGTGTGAAACTGCTTTTGAAAATCAATTACCTTGCTACTTTTTCGGATTATAATTTCACATTTCATTAAATGATTTATGTTACTTTCACATAGGAATGTAAAAGCGATTGTAAATTTGTGTTTTAATAAAAATTCTCATAAATATCAACATGACTGAAGCAAACAAATACAGTATAATTTCCTAAATAAAAGTGATAGCATGAGGTAATGTTACTATATATATAAATGAAAATAAATCAGTAATAAATCAAATAAAAAAAAACATAAACATATTTCATTGTTCATTTTTGTCAGAAAAGAGTCGTGCGAATCACATTCACATAAGCATGATGTATTAGATTTTATACCAATTTCTTATTTCTTTCAAAAATTTACAATTTTTTAATACCAATTAGAGTGGTAGAAAATAATCAAGAAAGTTCTCTTTTTTTTTAATTGTTTTACAAATTTTTCATGTCAAGCCTTTTTTAGCTTACTTTACAGAATGGGTTTTCTTCATTGTTGAAAGTCGTACGGTGAACTATTATTGCTTATATCCACGCCATTTTAAACTCTGGTGGATAGTTGTGTTTCATTGGCAATCATACTACATCTCCTTATTTTTATAAAGGTAACCGTTTATATAAAAATAAAGAAATGTGGTATGATTGCCAATGAGACAACTGTCCACAAGAGTTCAAATGATGTGTATGTAAGCAACTAAAGTTCATCGTGCATCCTTCACCTTTGCCAAGAAAAAAGTCTTGTGCATTGAATAAGATGTATGCGGCGTAAATGACCACAATCAAAGATGTATGGTCCTATCCTATTAAGGTAGAACACAGTTGTGTTTCCTTTGAATCATTCCGGTTCGATTACTATTTAATTAAGACAAATTGATTGACTGATTGATTGGTGGCTATCAAATCCCGTGTCATACTTATTTCATACTGATATACTCACAGGTTTGTTCCAAAGTTTTAGAATTAGTCATGCTGTATAATAAAATTGAGAATGGAAATGGGGAATGTGTCAAATAGACAACAACCCGACCATAGAGCAGACAACAGCCGAAGGCCACCAATGGGTCTTCAATGCAGCGAGAAACTCCCGCACCCGGAGGCGTCCTTCAGCTGGCCCCTAAACAAATATGTATACTAGTTCAGTGATAATGGACGTCATACTAAACTCCAAATTATACACAAGAAACTAAAATTAAAAATGATACAAGACTAACAAAGGCCAGAGGCTCCTGACTTGGGACAGGCGCAAAAATGCGGCGGGGTTAAACATGTTTTTTGAGATCTCAACCCTCCTAATGTATGTTTTGATAAATAAAAAACAGCTTATTTTATGATGTTAACCCTTTCGCATTATTCCCTTAACAAATTAACTCGCTGAGGTAATGTTTACCCAATTTCATCCCTCCATTTTAGTCCAAATATTGATTATCAACTATGAATATGTTGATTTTCGAAGACAAACTATTGGATCCGTGCATGCTTTTTTGATGATGAAGACACATTCAGAAATGTACATCGATACATTTTCTTTCATTTTCATTTGATATTTGGTCAATAAAAAAAAAACAAAAGCTATATACATATTGTAAAAGGATATAACGATTCAATATATTCCAGATTAAGAAAGTATTTTCCAGAAGTGATTTACATTAGATATTCTTTATTGTAGATATTGTAAGAAAAATACTGTCTGATGAAACTTCCGAATAGATAGGATCTGATTCCGATGATGCATTTACTTCGAAGTAAGCTTTTAGGTGAATCGTCTACTCGGAAGGTCGCAATGGAACGACAGAAACTGATTCGAAGGGTGGGCAAACGTGGGAAATGTAAAGGACAGTTTATGAATCCTTGTGGTGTAGCAATCTCCAAAGCAGGTAATTATACAGCTGTATATAGTGCTTCAAATAAAAAAAAAAACAAAAAAAACAAAAAAAACGACATTCCAAAAGTCGGTACACAATCATTATAAAAAAAATGAAGATGTGGTATGATTGATTGCCAATATGAGAGACCGAATGACGTAGAAGTTAGCGACTATAGGTCTCCGTACGGCCTCCAACAATGAGCAAAACACACTAGTACAGAAAATATGGAAGTGAAAACAATCAAAACAAAATGATTGATTGCTGCATACTTAACGTCCAGTGGCAATTATTTCATGCATATTCAAGACGAGAACAAATTAACCATTAATAAAACAGGTAGTTTCCAGGCGCGTAGCAACCCGTACGCAAAAACGCAGTTGCGTACACATCGAAAATTTGACAAAAATAAAAATATGGCAAATCTAGTAAGAATAAAACTAAAGTAATAGAATAAATTAAAAAGTATTATAAAAATATGCTAATAGTCACTTTGTAACTATATTTCGTTCCGGAAACTAGTCTACTCTTTTCAATCGTGATTGTGTTGCTGATGCAGACAATTAAAATAGCTGAGTCCTCGGGTGTCAGAACACAATTGTTACGGCTGCAATGCCTCCTTACCCTGACATCTTTTCTGAAGATTTCAAAATAACTGATGAAATAAAATATGACGTTCTTGGGCAACAAGTCATTCTTATGATTATTCTGTGAGATATGTATAGTCTAACATAGGTCGTCATCATGAACAGATTTTTTCAAACAGTCCAGTCAAACTTAATTTAAACTTAAGATTGTTAATGGTAATTTTCTTGCAACGTCTTCGCCGTTTTTTTTTTTATTTGACGACCAACGGGTTTTTACTTTTTTATTCTGCGTTCGGTCGTGCAAGACGGGTGCCTCGTTCAACGTGTTCCCCCGATTTAACTATACGTGCCTCGAGATTAAAAGTGCTTATTCTCCATGTTCATTTAAAGTGCTTGTTCTCCTTGCTTGGTAAAAATAAAATACTCTCGTTTTGGAAGTTGATAAATAGAAATCGGAAACAATTTGATGCTTTTCCTTGTAGATTTCGGGACTTCAAACGTATTTATATATAGTTAAAGAATTCCAAATTATGATATTATAAACAAGGATTTATACTCGGGAAACTTTAATATACTTAACGTATTTATGCATGTATGCCGGTCTCGACGGCAACGACAGAACGATCTTTCGGTACCATGAGAAGACTAGAGAAATACAATGAAAACCAATTGTTTATCTGGGCTTGGTCTATTGAACATATACCGTGAAAAACAAATTTTAACAGACACGGTTATGGACATCTTCAGTAGAAGAAAGGAAAGGAAATGGTCATTGACTTTCAGAATTAACTTTAAGAATTAAAAGCTAAAAGAAAGACTGTTTGTTCTCTTATAAAATAAAACATAGAGAAATGTGATTCCATTTATTTATGTATTTTCTCAATAAAAAAATCCATTTAAGTTGCACGGTGTTGGCTTAGAAATTTGAATTTTCTAATGTATAGTGGCCATGGGTTGAGACTGATTAGGTAACAATTAAAATATATGGTGGTGGGACTATATATTTTAATTGTACCTAATATATAAACAAGTTCTACCAAGTTTACTTTCTCTAATTATTTTTTTTTTCAAATTTAATCATTTTAAAAAGTTGACTTGTTACTCATTCAAATAAGATTTCTGTGAGGTCATTTTAAGTCCCAGGAAATCGCGAGAATGCAGGATTTTGCATCATTTACTCCAGAGCTTCTGGGGGCCTTGAGCGGCCCCAGACCCCTCGCCGTATGACTTCCTTCCCCGGCATTGAGTACACATCATTTTGGCCTAGCTACGCCCCTGGTTTCTATAGGGCACTGTCACTGAAAATTAAACAATGGTATGTTGTATACAACAGGCAACCTACGGACCCTTGAAATAGTTATTGAAATTGTTCTTTAGCGCACAGAGAGCGTAGTACTGTCATCTAAACGAGGCATCGGTTTAAGCGTCCCAATACTGACTGCACGTGACTCAGAATTTCTACATTCCGCATAGCCAAACAGACCACACACTTTTGCATGTTTAATTGTCGGTCAAAAGAAGACGAATGTGACCATATATCTATACCCTTACCTCAGTCACCCTTGAAATAAAGTGAACTCGTAAGGATATTTTTACTGTTAGACGTGCATTACCCATTTACGTCTGTCATCCAACTACGCAGGGTAAATTATAGAAACCGTATTATTCCTATCCCTCGAGACCGATCGATAGACACAGAGATTATGTTGGCCAAGAGAATTTCGTTATGTGATCTTTAATCAAATGTTGCACTTTCAAAAGTTACTGTAAGATTATTTGTTAATTTGGTTTAGAATCAATCATTCTCGTATTGTTTTCATTTTTACAGGTGACATCATAATTGCGGATACGGAAAATCACAGAATACAAATTTTTACTACAGAAGGCGTCTTTAAATCAAAGTTTGGGTGTAAAGGATGCAAACCCGATCAAATTCATTACCCGGTCAGTGTTGTCATGACAAAAGACGACCACGTAGCAATAACAGATAGTGTAAACGCATGCGTGAAGATATTTTCATTGGATGGTCAGCTTGTTCAGTTATTAGGTTCAAGTGACGTGCTAGAAATTCCATACGGTATATGCCAAACGCATGACGATCATTTCATTGTGACGGATATATGCAAACATTCACTTGTAATTTTTGATAAAGAGGGGAATATGTGCAGGACGTTCGGACAATACGGCAGCGAACCACGCGAATTTGATCATCCATATTTTGTTGCTGTTGATACAGACAAACAGATTTATGTATCCGATTCTGGAAATAGCAGCATTAAACTTTTCACTTTTGAGGGAAAACTTCTAAGGTGTTACTCACAAACAGACTTTAAACTAAATAGTGAGGTCTTTTTTACTTTAAACGGGATATGCATAGACGGCGAGGGAAATGTTCTTGTGACTTGCAATTCTGGAATTTATATTCTACTTAAAAATGGACGTTTGTGGGAAGTTTTAACAGCGGATGAAGGAATAACATGCCCGAAATGCATTACGGTCAGCTTATGTGGTAAAATCATTGTAACTCAAAATAATGGAGAGAACATAAACGAATTTTGTATCTTCCGTTATAATCCGGAACATTTCCGGTCATTGAATTCTGCTCAATTCTATGCAATCAATATATAGCTATTTGCAATAAATCATTTATAAAAAATCTCTTTGATTAAAATTGCATATTTTATGTTGCAGGATTTTGAATGGTTTTGATGCACTATGATATCAGGTTTCGATACGAATTGCAGGATCATGAGGATAGCCTAATTTTTTGGGCATATTAGCGCGTGGATCGCACAAATTCTGCACGTACATCGTGTTTAAGTCTTCAGATATACTGGAGACCAAACATTTAATATATTTAAATATTAGGAATGTAAATGCACGTGAGACTCAGTTAAAAATAAGGAGGCGGAAGGCACCAAACGGAGAATCAAAAATTATAAGTCGAAGAGAGATCGACAAAATCATTGTAAAAAACGATAAAAAGAACAACGGTGAACAATCTACAAAACATTATTTAAAAAAATAAGGACTGAGCAACAAGAACCCGACCGGAAAAGACAAATGCTCTGGAAGGGTAAGCAGATCTTACTCCATATACGGCATCCGTCTGTCTAATATGAGGTCAGTTATACCCGATGCACTGTAATACTTAAATCACGGTATATGTAAATTACACTATTGAAATGTATAGAGTTGCAAGATACCTAAGGTAATCAGATACTTTTAATCTAAGAGAGTAGATAACACCATGACCAACAGAAAAAAAATACAAAAAAGTCAACAAAACACCACAATTGACCGAATATTATGAGGCTTTCTTGATACAATTAGAAAACTCGCGTGCTCTGAAATTGTAAGCCCTTTTACGATAACTAAAGAGGTACAATTATTTTGTTCTGAAAGGATAAGGAGCTCCTATCCCAACGTATATATATTGCGGGTAATAGAAAACAATTCTTTTCTATTTTTCCTGATTAGCTTATAAGTCATTGCAACTTATCTTAAGTGTTGTTGTAAACCGACAATCGTAGGAGTGAAAACATACATGCAGAATCGTATCAACACGAAAGGAGGAAGACCAGATATGTCGTCTTGGTAAACGTGATGTGTTATTAATGCACCAACCAACACATGAATCCGAAGTGATACCTATCACCAATTTCGTTCAGGCAACGAATGTAATCAAACCGTTAATAATGTAAAATAAACACTAAGTGGACCTGTCGGATCTATGACAGTTAAAATATCTCCTGTAAGTTCAGATACTGAGACACAATAACAATCAATTAATAAGTTATTGCGACCATAAAGCTTGTAACGTCATCTTCGCTTCCTCACAACCTTACTATCTATATATATATATATCGAAACCGGTAAAAAAAATTGTGCGGTTATGTTTCTATTGAAGAATTAGTATTTAAAATGACCAAAGGAACTGTTTTACTAGCGCTTATCATAATATATAGATCCTGTTTGTGGTTTTCCATCAGTCAATTTCATTGAAAAGATCTGGATATATTTGCGAACTGTATTTCTCCTGTAGTATCCTTAATGGACTATTTGAGAACTCATTTTGAATTGAAGGGACATCATGAATATAGGTTTAACAATTCAATTTAATACATTTACTACATGTTGTCCTAAATCAAGGTTTTATAAATTCCTCTTGATATGAGCCATGAACAGCAGCAGCGACGCAATCTAATTATTCATTGGAATACTGATTGTCCTTTGGAATATTCATACAGCCGACTCACCAAATGTGTTGCCGACCAAAAAGTCCAACATTCTGATTTCCTTTTCGGCACTTTGTTAATTGAATTAATGTGATTTTCACCAATGCGGTATTTTTCTTTACCAAATACGAACAATAGATATTTTCGTTTACCATGATATAGAGGAGAAAACTGTTAAACGAGAAGTGTATTGTTTACGTTAAGAATATATATAAATGTAGAGTGTACAGAAGTCAAACAATTTGATATGGTTGAGAGAAAAAAAAATAGCGACTGTGATTGAAGAAATAAAAGTAAAGCCTTTTTACTTTTTAAGAATGCACTACTTATTTGCATCGTTGCAAGGCCTGAAAACCACAAGTCCACGAGCCTGGACTGAGGTATTCACTATGCAAAGCCAAATCATCCATAATGTACATTTGAATAAATAATTAATCAAAAACACTGAAAGAATCATGAAACTATGGACATAATTTAGCGGAGAATAATTGGTATGTAAATAATGAAGTTTCTTTAAAAATATGTAGGGAAATCAGTCGGTCACATGCAGTAAAAACAGATATGGCTTCTATGATTGTCTCCGGTTATTACACGACTGAATAGGAAACGCCGCTTCTATAACAATAATTAGAAGGATTGGTCTTATTTAGAAATTGTCAGTTTAATGAATATTTACCATGTCTAAAATCAAGTTTTCAACTTCATCAGAATTTTATTTTCCATTTCCATAATGATTTTGATCTTGAATATCCCGAGTAAGTTATTACAGTCATTCAGCTCGCGCAATGATTGTATTATACAGGATTTACTGACTTGATCATTGAAATAATGACGTATAAATATAAGCGAAGCTACCATTACATGTTCATGTTTAAACTTTTATCAAGTTTATTGAATATGCTGTATTAATAGCAGGTGTCCCTTTCCCCAAACCATTTACAAAGTAGTATTTGCATTAAAATACCTTCTGATTTGGACCTATTGCTAGGAAAACAACATAGTAAAAAGCATTAAAAGAACTCATGTCTTTGACAAGAAATACTTGTGCTGAAAACCTGGTTAAAGTTGTAATTAAAGACATTGGTAAGATAACGAGGATTGACAGCATTCGGGGATGCCTGTCAAAATAAAATGTATCCTTAGTAATTTGTTACCTTGTCCTATACAATACCTGTACTTTAGAACCATAATGAAACCACGGTTCTCTGAGCTTTCCTCTAAAAAAGAATAAATGCTTCCTAAAGACTAAAAATGTGGATTCATTTTTAATCTATGATAACTAGAGACAGTTGTTTATTTTTGAGTTTGTATTATTAGAGCTCCATTCCACAAGTGATTACGGACCTCATTTCCATAACTATCTATTTAACTATTAATAGTTTTTTTTTTCTATTACTGTCATATTTACCAATATACCATATATTCGCTGATAACACAAATATTGGAAAAATAGATAAGTATGTTAATACGAAAGGAAGGGCTAACCTATTCGGGGCTTAAGACAGTGTCATGTCCTCAAGCACTATTGCTTTTATCTGCTGGTTATTTTTGTAACTCTTATCTGTCAATTATAATATGCATCACGGTACTCAACACTATTTTCAAGAATATACAAAATGTAATAACTAGTACATACAACGAAAACTAAAGAACTTTTTCTTCATCTCCAAAACAGAGGGTATTAACAAAGAAATTGGGCGGCTACCTCTATAAGATGTGGTTTTAATTGAAGCTCTACCGAATCACACTGCTTTCATAATAAATACACAAGAATTTGCATACCTGTTCACCAGAAGAGATTTCAGGAACATATCAAGAAAAAGTATACATGATCCTGTTTACGACAGCATAGTGTTAACGTTGTGAAATTAATATGTTTGTCACAATTTTTTTTCACAGAAAAACAAATAAACAGACAAACAAACTTACAAAACTAACAAAAACAAAGCTGACAACAACGCATCTTCGCCAGCCAAAGGTAACGATCCGACCCGGTCCTGTGAAGAGGAGCGGGTCAGATCGTAAACCTTGCCTAGCCGAAGATGATAACAACGAAATTGACTGCAAATATGAGGGTTTTATTTGTTTTATTGCCTTATTTGCACTAATGGTAACATGGGAATATAAGCAAAATGATATGTTTTACCTATGCCAAAATATAGCTTGTATCGTGCTATTTTCAAAAGAATAACAAATATTGGCAACCCTGTTTTAAAGCTACAGGTCGGCATGCAAAATTTGTAAGCCAAATACAAGGGACAGGCAATATTATTTAACTGGAAAGAAAAACTGCAGATATAAATGATATTATTTTGAAATGAAATATGAGAAGATAATCATTTCGGTTCAATCGAATTTGAAACCATATTAGCGAGTAAATCATGTCAAAATAGAGACGTCCGGGATATAGCGACATAATTTATACTTTCCAGAAATATCGGACCTATCAAATATACATAAACTGCATTTGCTATGGAAGGTGGAACATGATTTCATTGGTGTTAGTTAAGGTGGAATATGTTTTCGTTGGTGTTAGTTTTTTGTGAGTTTTGTTTCTAATAAACGGGAGATTACCCAATTTTTGTTCTGATAGATTTGTTGATTTTTAGAAACCACCCTTTATATTACATACTTTGATTAAAAAGTCTAAGACTTACAATATTCTAAATAAAATTTTGTACTTAAGCAAACACACTTGTTATTGGAAATTGGCACATATAAAAAAAGACGACATACAACATTGGAATTATTTGATTGCTTTATTGATGTTTTAAACATTTGATAAAGGACAAATTATAAATTTAATAAAAAAAACTGTTACCAAAACTCCAAATCCTACATAAATATGTTCATCTTAAACTACTAGTATTTGATGGTTGGGTAGAAACAGAAATGCCTGAAATAGTTGCCTCTACGTAGGACTTCAAATAAGTTAACCGTTGACCAAAGAATGACAAATTATTGGAATTTCATTATCAGATTCTTTATGGTATTGTCAGCATGTTTCTGGCGAAACGAAACGCTGACAAAATGGATTGGATTTCATAGATTCAATGACGATTGCAATATTTCCTGTTTTCCTCTGATACCGTGGCTTATCTCAAGGGTAACTGATAAAACAGGGCCTAGATATGGGTCTTTCGTTTCTGTAGTCTTCATTTTTTGCCCATGATTTTTTATTCTCTATATTTATGCAGGCCATTATTCTTTATTCGTCAATTTTTGGCCTAGTTTTCTCTATTCTTTATTATTTTGTTCTTCATTCAGTATTTGTTTGCCAATTATTCTCTATTCTGTAAACCCCATCCATCGAATTCTTTATGTACATGTCCAAAATCACGAGTCTGTAATCCAGTGGTTGTCGTTGGTTGCGGTCTATCATTAGTATTTTCCGTTTATTTCTTTTTAAGCACAAT